AGATCTTCGTATTCACTGACGCCTCTCCGAAAGATGCCCACTTGTTTGATGCGGTCAAGGCCCTCGCACTTGAGAAACAAAGCAAGGTAGGTTTTAATGATAATGAGAATCCCTCTCTAATCAAAGCTACATTATCTTCAGTGTTGCACACATGGGGTTGTGATCTGTGGGGACATTTTCTGATTCTCTTCATCTAAATAAAACACATTTGAATGTAACAACTCCGATTAACAAAAAAACAAGCTTCACATGATGACATTCACAATTCAAACACATCATTACAGTGCAGCTAATTTACAAATTAGGAAGAAGTTATCTATGTTTGCAGATAGTGATTAGGAAGTGGAGTAGCATGTAACTTGCATCTCAGTATGGCACCCATCTTGTGTCTTACATACTGTCTTAGGGGGACTGCAGTCAAACAAGTCATGTTTTAGCACAAGCCACTGGTCATGTTTTGAGATGTTTCTCCAACAGGTGACATTTCTCCTCACTGAGGACCCCAACTACACATCAGAGAGCCGAGGAAGGAGGAGGAGAAGGAGGAGCATAAGTAGGGAACCTTTGTCCCCTGACCGTTTCGCTCTCTACTCATCCTTGTCCTCCCTGTCAGGGGGACTGACAATATTCACTACCAACTCTGACATCCACAGGGTCTCTACCATAGTGGAGGATAATACAGCTGCTGACAAGGTACATCATCATCATTTTCTACGCAGTTGAACCAAAACAAATAAGTTCCTAAAGCAAAGGCGGCTTCACTGGTTCTAGATGTTGCTGGCTTGTGACGTTAAGAGGTTTTTTCTTTCCCTACTTATCCGCAACCCTTCAGATTCATCTTGGAACCCACAGTGGGAGTCCCAGCAACTGAGCCACATCATTATTGGGATGGGCGGGCCCCATAGTCCACTATCAATTGTTCCATTTAGAATAGATTTAAACAAGAGGGGAGGGCACTGGGGGCATGTTAAGGGCCTGGCTTTTGGACTACAGTGTCGGCTCTTTTTGTACTGCCAAAATATTTATATGAATATATATTCGTCTAGGAGCTCATACAACTACCATAACAGCTTCCTGTTGTGGCTGAAAATGAGGTTGAGAGAAGCAAAGCAGTTGCAGGCTGTACACAATGAACTGAAACATGCTAAAATGTTCTGTGAAGCTGAGGGAAGCTGAAGTACTTGGCAATAATTATTCACAAGTTGCATTTTGTGATCCATATTTATTATAGAAATATGGATTGTAGACGCTTAACATTTCTGTGAAGTGGAAACGTGATTTATTCTCCAGATAACCAGCACATTTCTCCTTTTTACTCCTCAGGTGACCCTCCTCCACGTAGAAAGTGACAAAGAGTTGATGTCCTCCCATTCCTTCAGAGTTGACAGCTCAGTAAAAAATGTCACACTGCATGTCACTGGCATCCTGACAGAGTGTATCCTCACCAGCCCATCAGGTAACTGTCAGTTATACGTTTATAAACCGTTAACGGCAGCTGAATTTCCCCTCTGGGGATCAATAAAGGTTTATCTTATCTTGTGTCCAGGCAGTCATTTTTTATTTTGGGATTTACAGTATGTGAACTGCAGTTTGTACTTCCTTGTGCAGCCTTTCAATACAACTACCCATCTTTGCATTTGAATAAATAATTAAGCCCAGGTGTTCATCTTCCTCTGCTTGTTAGACCAAAGCCAGTCTCTGCTGAGCGAGGAGGGCCCTCTGGCAGAGTTGGAGCACTTTCAGGGTCTGTACCGCATCAGCCTGCTTCCTCCTTTACAGCCAGGCCAGTGGAAACTCCAAGCCAAGAGTGACGGACACCTCACATTCAATGTGATAGGTAAAACAAGTGAAAACATGTTTGACATAGAGCCAATCCACTGACAGATAATTACATGACCGCACTTGGATTGAGAAACGAGGCAAATGTTTGTCTGTTGTTCTGCACCCACAGGTGACAGCAGTGTAGATTTCCTGTATTACTTTGCAATCTTAACGAATGAGACACACCCAGGTCTGGCTAGAGTGGAGGGTAGTCCAATAGCAGGTAAAAGATTTTCGAATATGATTTGTGTTGTACAGTGACAACGTACAGTAAGTCTTCCAACCAGGAATGTGCCTGTCATTTAGCAAACTTTGTTTCTTATTTAATTTCCCAGGTGTTCCTGCCTTTCTGGTGCTGGCTGTGACAGGCCTGGCTCCAGATGAGGAGGCATCTTTCAGTCACGTGACGCTGCTGGGAGCTGACGGGGAGAGCCTCCAGCAGGTGAAGCTGAACTCCTCTTCCACGTCTTCATCATCCTATTCTGTAGAGGAGCTTGTGGGACGGGTGGACTCTATTCCCAGAGTCCCCTTTTGTGTTCGACTAACAGGCCGAGACAGCAGAGGGAACAAGCTGGAGAGGGTCTCTACAGAGATGGTTCAGCCCACTCACGTTCAGATACAGGTAATGCTAAACAAGACTCAGGCTGCACCTTTTAGGTCATTGCTTTTATTTTATGACCTACAACTTTACTGATTTGGTTCAGTAGATGTAACAGACACCATAGCTGTGATGAATCCTAATCGACTAACAGTTAGTGGAGCATTTAACAGCTAAAGAGTCACATTTTCCCTCAGGAGAGAGTGGAGACTAATAAATGCACTTCCTGTACCGTAACCCTGTGTCAGTTTGTGTTTACAGCTTGTTCTGCTGCCCCCACGTGGACAAAATAATCAATTACTGCTGCTGCTTCATCAGTAACAATGGAAAATTCATACAATTTCACATTGATGTACCTCAAATTCTCTTGCTTTTGTTGTGATAATCTCAAATAGTTTGCATCTCTCGGTCTCTTCAGCTGTTGTCTGTTCCCCGCCTGGTACCTGGTCACAGTACAATGGTAGACTTTGACATCCTGAACCATGGCCCGGCCCGACTCTTCAGTCTGACTGCTGATGACGATTGTGGATATCTTCATAAGAGAGGACCTCACAGGTATTGCACAAAAGAAAATCTTGCTCAGCCTCTAGGTGAACAGAAAGACTTGTGTTTCATATGAATGTTATATTTGAAAAGAATATTTCTTATCTTTTGAGAAGTGTTATAATGAAGCATAGAATTTTAACTATGGGAATATTTTTTGTTATTTAAGATTCATTTTCTGTTCCTCAGGTTCCATGTTGCAGAACAAGGGTCTTTCCGTGGTCAGGTGGACCTCTACACTCCAGCCACAGCTCAGGCAGGAACTACTGTCACCCTCACGCTCACTGTGTGCGCTCTTGACTCTCCAGACTCAAATTATGCAGTGGCCTACTTGACTGTGGTCCCTCCGGTGAGCATTCACTGAGAACTAGTCCCAATAATTCATCTTACTGGACACTTTGTTTATTGAATTTTCTGTGTACAACTGGCATCACTTCCTCTTTCTCTTGTAGGATCCAGACACGTCCCCACCATCCTGCTCCGCTGCACGAGTACAGTCTACCTGTCCTCCCATTTGCAATAAATCTACCTGGAGTGTATCTCTGGTCGTGTCAGACAGGGGCTCTGGCCTCGCTGCCCTCCAGCTGCAGAAGGGTGAGGGCATTATGACTTTATTCCACAGCCCCATGCCCACAGAGGACAGCCTGGGAGAGGCCCACAGGGACAAGACAACCAGTGGAGGCCATCACCACCATCATCACCAACACAACGCCAGATTAGAGAAAGGAGACCCTCCTCTGAATGTATCTGAATGGGTTTCGGGCTCATCTCAGCCACTGTGGGTGAGGTACACGTCCAGCTGCTGCTCTGCTCAGGCTGAGCTGCTGGTGTGGGACACAGCAGGAAACATGAAGCGCTGCCATCTAACATCCGGCCAGCAGAGGCAGCTAAGAGACAGGAGCACAGAGACCAGTGGAGCTGGACGGATTACACTCACAGACGTCTTTTACTTGTTGCTGGGTCTGCTCTGGTTTTCTCTGCTTTAGACCGATGTGGTTACAAATGTTTTGCAGGTCAAACAAATCTACGTGTTGATCACTGGATTTTAGGTTTAAAAAAAGATGTAAAATGTTCTTTTTTGGAGGGCATAAACAGATAAAACTGAAAAAAAGTATATAGTAGAGAAGTAGTTTGCAGTGAGTGCACTTAATGCAAAGCAATGTGTTCTTAATTGTGGAGTATGTGCTTACTACTGTAATTTCTAATCAAGGTGCACTAAATAAAGATTGAATCATTTTACTAATACTGTCAATAAATTATTTGCAACTGAGATTTCCGCACATATAATATCACACAGAATATATTGCAGCCATGGTGTGAAGAATTTTGGACAGCACTTTTTCAGCCAGGTAATGATACAATTCAGGTGGACCACATGGAAAAAAATGTATAAGTTTATTTTTTTACGGCACAGTTTACAGGACATAAAGGCCTAACTATTTGCAACAGCGATAAACAGAAGCCCATAATCAGAACATAAATGATTTTATCGATGGGAGCCTTTTAATGCATGAGTGAATCAAAGTAATAAAGTACTCTAACACAGTGGTTCCCAACTGGTCCAGCCACGGGGTCCAGATTTCTCCTTAGTCATTAGTTCAAGGTCCACACAGTTTAATATATTCAGTGTCATACTTGGGTTTGACCATGTCGCCAAGCTAGTTTGCTATTTCTGTTAAGTAGCCGTCCATTATTCACTGAGTCCACAGTAGGACACAGCACTTCACAATAAAAACTCTGTGCCTGAAATCCGCTGTGCTTAAGAATAAATTGTGTTTCTTACAAACTTGACATGTTTGCATGTCCTTTCAGAATGGACCCGCGGCCCATCAGTTTGGAACCACTGCTCTAACACACCTGCATCAGGGTTATGAGCTCTCACCTCCGCGGTTCAGAAAATGGAGCAGCAAGTAAAAATAGACACAGCACAAAAAATATGAATTCAACAAATACAACCCAATCACCAGAATAAATGTTAGCATTGTATGTTTCCGCAAACCACGGATAGCTTACATTTGTACGTCATTATGTTGTGGATATGACGTACGTCATTTGTACGTCATTTGTACGTCATATCCACAACATAATGACGTACAAATGTAAGCTAACCATGGATAGCTTACATTTGTACGTCATTATGTTGTGGATATGTTGAAACTTGTGTGGTTAGGTTTAGGCACAAAAGCCACTTGATTATGGTTAGGAACAGATCACGTTTTGGCTTAAAATACCTGCTTTTAGTGGCACAGTCTTGGCTGGAAACACAGCTATGGCTCCCTAACAAAAACACCCATGTTATGTAGATAAACAACTGGTTGTACTTCTCTTCAGTTGCAGGTTTTCCACTCCAAAACAGATGCTTAACAGTCTTGTCATCTCTCTTACAATTTGGCTATGTATTCAGTTAAGATTGATGTAGGCCTGCTACAAAATATTTATTTCACCATCCTTTAAATCATTTCAAGGCAATACTTATAGCACATATTGTGGGAACACATCCCTCCAAATATTCAGATATGCTCAAAATGTCCACCCAGCATATTGATCAAAAAAGACATTGAAACGTGGACTTTTCTAATCAGTTGTTTGTTCAGAGATTGCAATTCATGCTCATCCTGGAGATTATTCATTTCAACTGAGAACTCATTAACTGTCAGGCAGTTGCTTATTACACAACACAGTAAGTAGTGAATATAAAAGCATAGAAGGTCCTGGACACAAAGCATGTAAATGAAGAGGACGATCAGGTTCAGACTGAGCTTTTGGGCATGATGAATAAAAAATGTGCAAGAAAACACAAGCAAGCGAAGGTGGAGGAGAGAGGACATTGGGCCAGTAAGGTGGAGTTTCTCCTGGCTGTGGCGGGAAATATTGTCGGACTGGGCAATGTGTGGAGGTTTCCTTACCTCTGCTACAAAAATGGAGGGGGTAAGCAAATATGATGCTAACTCCCTGTTATTCTTAATCTGTGATAGATGTATACATTGTTGTATACTTTGTAAATTCAGGAGCATTCCTGGTGCCATATCTGGTATTTGTGGTGACCTGTGGCGTACCACTGTTCCTGCTGGAGACGACTATAGGCCAGTACACCCAGCAGGGCGCCATCACCATCTGGAGGAAGCTATGCCCACTGGCAGAAGGTATGCTGAAAACACTCTCAGTGATTTATTAGCTCCAGACGTAGCTGGTAGTTATATTATTGGCTTCTTTTGTGGACTGAGAGGGGTTGGTACTGTTGTGACAACGCCACTGAGGAGAGAACCTTGTGTCACAATTTGAGAGTAGCATGTTTGTACTTAAATGCAGAATTAATAGATTAAGGCAGCAGGATGATTTGGCTGATTTATTTTAAAAAAAACAAAAACTTACAGCAAGCAGTCCAGAAAAACAGACATACATCAAAGACCAATCAATCCAGATGTAGAAACACTGAAACACTGGGAAACAGACCCTGAAAACAGGCAGACTTTTTGGCACAGGGAGTGACGACAAACTGACAAATGACAAGGGGAGCAAAAGGACTCACACACAAGGACAGCAGAGTGAAACCCTTTTATTTCACAGAGAAAGAGTATACTAAAAAATATCTCTGAAAACCCCTCATATCAGAGCTTCGTCATGGATGTCTGTACAGGGCAAACATTAACAAGCTAACAACTGCATGGCCTCTGTGGGCCTAATACCAATTTTTTTTTTAATTAATATTTAAACAAGAGCGGGGGGTCTTAAGTTGTGTTGTGCTGCTAAATGTTTATTTTAAAGGGAAACTCCACTGGTATGGCACACATGAGGAAGACTTCTGGATATGTGAAAAAAGTTGTATTAAGTGTTTTGTTGCTCCAAAGCGAGTTGTGCAAAATCCTAGAGAGTGCCTCAGTTTAATATTGTACATTTAGATGGCCATTATATACATCCCAACATGGGGATGGAGAATTCCTCTCACTATTTTCATGATATATTATTAAATAAGACTATATATTACCAATTTATTTCATTCTGCCATTATTTAAATGTCTGCCATCTCCTGTGGTCAAATCTCTCTTGAGCTACACTAAACTGCCCCCACAATCTCTGTAAGCTTTCAGAAAATGTGCACAAATATGGACAAAATGATTGCAGAGTACAACACAAGGCACTGTCCATCTCCGTATCTAACAGAGAGCATAAATGAGCTCTTAGTGGCAACTTTTGGTCAGTCAGGTTTCCATGGCCCTGACTGTGAAGCAGTTTGGGTAATGGATAAATAGAGAAGGTCAGGTTTTCATAATGATTGTCTATAACCACCAAATGTGGCCCTGCAGGTATTGGCTATTGTGGACAGCTGATCCTTTTCTACAGCTGTATGACCAACATCATCATTCTGTCCTGGGCTTTGCTCTACCTGGTGTTCTCCTTCAGCTCACAGCTGCCCTGGGCCAGCTGCAACAACTACTGGAGCACAGGTAAAACACATACTGTCTCAAAGCATGAACATTGGTATGATGTACTGATGTTATGATAGGAGATACCAACACTTAATCAAGTGGCATCTGTGTTAAAGTATGGTCAAAATGAAAGCAACAGAGGTCCTGTGTCTTTCTTTTGACCTCTTTTGCCTGGTCAATGCCCACATCTTTTAAAGGGCCAGTGTGTAATATTTGGCATGGTTTATTGTCAATCTGAATCTGAATCTGAATCTTCTACCCAATAATATGTTTATACAAGTGAATAATCGCTATAAAATAAAATTCGTTTGGTTTTCGTAGCCTTATAATTATGCTTTTTTTTATATATATATATATATATATATATATCTCAAGGGCCTTGCTTTAGAGAGGTCGCCATCTTGCGCCACCATGTATGTACGGCAGCCCGAGCGGACAATCCAGCCAGCCAGAGAATGCGTTTCGCGTGTATAAATAAACCAACGAAGACAGCGGAAGGAAGGAAGAAGGAGGAGGAAACAGCAGAGAGTGTTAGTAGTTCGTCGATAGAGAGTAGTGAAAAGTTTTTTTAGTTATAAAGTTTGCGAATGGACCACACTTACCACGCAACAGGAGAGAATGAACCCGAACCGTCATCTGCGAGGAAAAGAAGACGCAGCTTCACTCCTTGTGATGCACTCTCTGCGGTGCTTTTCCTCCTGGTCATATATCTCCCCAACAATGGTAGCAGTAGCACCAAATCCCATTCTGTGCATTCAGCCTCTCTTCTCGCCCGCTCAGCATCAAACACATGGAGTTCCTCATCTGTATGCTCCGGCTCAAACAGGTATGGCTCTGGGTCTGTGTCCGCTACAAGAAACTCTTCAAAATCGCGTTCAAAGTCATCCATTGCAGCTACTATAGTCCGGAGATATTGCTAGGCTAAATAAACAGCTGAGCTCTGTTTACCGGCTACGCTGTCAGTTAGTGTGCGGGCTGGAGATTGAGCAGAGAGGGGAGGGGGGTCCCCACTCAGCATGGTAAACGAGTATGTGTGTAAAGTTATGAAGTGTTACGCTAGAAGAGTCAGAGTTTGGGACGGAGTGGAGCGTTACCGGAGTTTCTGGAGTGCTCAAATAAACAGGCCTTTTTCCCGAACGCTCCTCTGGTCTCCTGCTCATGAGGGATTCATTACAATATCGTAACATGGCTTAGATTTCTAAATAAACATTCACCTCGTCTCTAGATAGACCTACTCCTGAAAAATTCGTGCGCAATGCTTTTTGTCCCTACGAGTCCTCCTTCATTTACCCGACGGGAGGGGTGAGCGAGTGAGCCCTGCAATCTAGAATTTGGCCATTGATGTCACTGTTTTCAACCCATTTTACACACTGGCCCTTTAAGTTCCCCCCCAATGTTGCAGGTTGTTTGGTATAATGTGAGGTCTCTGTGAAGCCCCTGGAGACACATAATACATTATACACAGAGTTGGGTTACTTTGGGTTACTTTGTAACACGTTATGCGTTAGAGCACTTTGATTACTTTTTGCAGTAACGAGAAACCTAACGCGTTAGTTTGCTGTTTGAGTAATCAAATACTTAAGTACATTTTCAAACAAGACATCAGTTACTTCTGTTACTTTTAGAACGCTGGTCCTTCAGCTCCGAAACAGCAACGGCTGTCGTTTGGTTCTAATAACGGAGATAACGTTAAACCTATCAGTCTGAAAGAAGCCA